GGCCACGCTTATCCTAAACTTTCACTTGACACAATCTCCCACATCATTTACGCTCACGTCAGCTGTCCTCAAATCACATTCAATAGCATCCCTCCATCTCTTTTTTGGTTTTCCTCTACCTCTTCTTCCTTCAAAATTCAGTTCTAAAACTATTATTACAGCTTCCGATTCTTCTCTCCACATAACAAGACCAAACCATCTAAGTCTATTTTCTCTTTCTCTTATCTACGATTGACGCTACACCTATACTCCCTTTTATATGCTCATTCCTTATCCTATTTTCTCTAGTAACTCCACTCATCCATCTAAGCATTCTCATCTTTGCTACACTCATTCTCTGCTCTACTTTCTTATCAACCAGCCAACACTCTGAACCATATATCATAGCTGGCCTCACTACATTGTTGTAGAATTTACCTTTCAGCTTCATTGGAATTCTTTTATTGCATAAAATGCCAGACGCTTCTCTTCACTTCAACCACTCGCACTTAATCCTGTGTCTTACATTTTCGTCAATACCACCGCTCTTTTATACAATTGACCCTAAATACTTAAAACTTTCCCCCTCTCCAATCACGTCCTCGTCTATCGTCACTGATCTCCTCATTTCACCTACCTCGTGTTCTCCTTTGTTAAACTCGTACTCTATATACTCTGTCTTACTTCTACTTATTCTTGAACCCTTTTCTTTAAGAGCTGATCTCCACACCTATAGCGTCTGATTAATTTCCTTATAATATGACTCACAATCTTTATGCCTCTATAATTTCCACACTCCTGAATGTCATCTTTAACTTTAAATATCGGCACCACAATACAATTTTTCCATTCATTTGGAATTTTCCCTTTTAATAAGATTTTATTTAAAAGTTCCTTCAACCACTTTATGCCAACACAGTCTAATATTTTCTATACTTCTACTGGCATTTCATCTGGTTCTATTGCTTTATTCTTTTTCATTGATGCCACAGCCTCTTATACCTCTTTCTCACTAATTAAATCTACCAGTCCCTCATTTCACGAGATATCCTCTAATGTCTTTTTTGGATACTCCTTATTTAGTAATTTTTCAAAATACTCTTTCCACCTTTTTTTCACATTATCATCACTCGAGAGTACCTTATTATCAACAATTTTGATACACCTTATATAATGATAATCTTTAGACCTTTTCTCTCTTACTTTTGCAAGTTTATAGATTTCTTTCTCGCCTTCCTTTATTCCTAGCCTATCATACAACTCATCATACCTCTTAAACTTCGTCTTACTTACTGCACACTTGGCTTCTTTGCACTAGCGTTTATACTCCACCCAATCTTCTCTTCTATTGCTCTTCTGCCATACTTTGAATTGCTTTTTCTTACTTTCTATGATTTCTTGAACGTCCTCATCCCACTATCAGATTTCCTTGTTTCCTGGCATTCTACTCCTACTCTGACCAACAATCTCCTTTGAAAATTCTTTACACAGCTAGTAAATCTATTCCACACATCATTTATGTCTCCCTCGACATTCCACACCGTCCTCTCTTTTACCGTCTTTATAAACTCTTTTTCATTTTCCCCTTTCAATTTCCACCACCAGATCTTCGATTATTTTTCTGTGTTCCTTCTGTTTTTGTATAAACCAAGGTGTACCAACCAGTACACCTCAACTCCATTACTATCAGTTTATGTCTATGTAGTTACACTCTCCCCTGGTATAACTTTACAATCTTTTACTCGCTTTACGCTCTCTCTCTTTCACATAAAATAATCAATTTGTGATCTATTCCTCCCATTCTTATAAATTATATAATGTTCTTCCGTCTTTCCAAAATAAGTATTAATCACAGTAAAATCATACGATACTGCGAAATCCAAGATTCTTTTTCCAGCCTCATCGTTTGCGATAAAACTATACCTTTCATGTACTCTTTCATATCCTCTCTTCTCATTACCTACATGTCAATTCATATCTTCACCTATCACCGCATCCTCATTGCTAGGTACCCCTTGCATCACCCCATCCATATCTCACCAAAACACCTCCTTGTCTATTTCATGACATCCTACTTGTGGAGCATAGGCACTTATTACATTCAGCACTTTTTCATCCAATATCAACTTTACGACCATAATTCTGTCACTTTTCCTAGCTAGTTTATATATATATATATAATATTGATGACATGCATGCGTGTACGGGTATGAAAACCAAAAATAAAATTATACAAGAATAGTGTTGCCGACGTGTGGTGAGTGGGGTTGGGTGAATGCGTTACGACAGTCTAGTCTCAAGACCATAGATGATGGGATACGCGAGAATAATTACACATGGCGCGTGGAGAGTTACAAACATACTTACTGGTGAAACTAATACAAGTATAATAAACGGAACACTAATAATTGCTTTATAATACTCTTCAGAGTAATTNAACACATGGCGCGTGGAGAGTTACAAACATACAAACAAACATACTTACTGGTGAAACTAATACAAGTATAATAAACGGAACACTAATAATTGCTTTATAATACTCTTCAGAGTAATTTATTATAGAAGTAAACTACACTAAAAATTTTTCAGTTTTCATTTAATAGCATAAAACATTCTTGAAAAATTAAATTTTTCAAATAATTTGAAATTAAGTTTTGAACATACTACTTAGTGGACGCAATCAAGATATTTCCATTATGATAAAAGTAATGGAATTTTTTCTCGATCTCGAAGCAGTTCGAATTGTTGTCTGTTTTTCAATTAATAAAAAGCTTAACTAATTTCGTTGTTAAATTAGTAAATTTTAAATTTTAATAATAGTACACACACATTACACATTAATACTTAGTATTAATAACTTCAATCTTGAACAATCGATGGTTATAAATTTATTATGATATTTAAGCAGGCGTTAGGCGGGCTCTATCTATGTTTATTTTATAGGTCCATGGACGACTCTTATTATTTATTTTGGCCACTTTTACATTAAGACCTTTTGTACGAATGAAAACGAAAAAAAATGCGGTCCATGTTTATAAATAAGACTATATGTATATTACTATTTATATTTGATAATTTTTTTTTTATAAGCTTATTATTTAATAATATTAAATAATACACCTATTTACCCGTATTAAATTAATATGGTTATGTTGACAAATTGTGAAATGTGATTGTTTTCTTTCATTTTGAATCATCTTACAAATCGATACTTGTCTATTTTTTAATAATTCTGAAGTACTTTTATAATTATCTTTCATAATTTAAATATGAAGTCGATCTGTAGACAACGTTCTGTTGTTCGGCAGCATATATAAAAAATACTGATTGTAAAACTGTTGTGTCAAGTATGTAAAAAGTTTTTTTAAATATCACGCTAATATAACTAACTTAAAATACACGTACTTAAATATTATATTATTTATTATAACCTTTCAATATGGGTTTCCAGAAATTTTAAATTAGGTACATGGATTTATAGAATTATATATTTTTATCCTTTTAAATTCATTATAGAGCATTTTAATTCGAAGAATATTTCATACTTCAATAAATTTTATTTTTTAGTTTAAATGCAAAATGAACATTTAACCCAGTTTTGATGGTATATTGTATATAAATTTATAAAATATTATTAATTATTTATTTTCAACACATAAATAGGTATATTTTATTATTTTGGACTTTTAGAATAAGAGATTTTATGATCAATCGAATCAAATTATTGATTAATGGACGTTGAACAGCACGGGTCGCGGAAATTTATATAGAAATAAATTCAAAATTCAGATATCGAGAACGGCTGTTAACCATGTCTTTTAGGAAATTTTTTCAAAGTGGATTTTTTTGTAAAATTTGTATGGTGATAACATATATGTTTATATTGTTTACAAAATAGGAAATAATCAAATTAAGAAAATGACGGATCGATATCAACTTTTGGAACAGTATTTTGGAAGTTATTAACATTTTTATACATGCCCCTATTCCTCAAACTATATTTTTTTAACAATCAACGCCAAACAATAAAAAAATTCCCCCAAAAATTTCAAAACCCGAGACACATGCTCCCTATGCCCCTCTCTAAATATACCTCTGATTATTTTAGGCTAGAGTTAGTAATTGAGTGATATTTAGTCTTTAATTATGTTAGTAGGGATAAAAGTATATCTAACAACTTACTTTACATAAGAAATAACAAATTATTAGCTGATAGCAATCATTTGAATACTATTACACTAGTTTACAAATAAAAAAAAATTTTCTGACCTATGACTTATGATAGTCATTTTTTATGTAAAATCGTCCACTGAGTCCGAAAATGAAGTCCAAAATACAAAAAGTAGAACAGTTTTTGAGTTATTGTGAAATTAGCGTTTTTCGTGTACCGTGAAAAAACGTTTTCATTATATACTAAATATCTTTAATTGCATTCAACCGATTTTCATNTGAAAAAACGTTTTCATTATATACTAAATATCTTTAATTGCATTCAACCGATTTTCATTTTTTTTACATAAAATTAAACAATATTAAATTACCTATAACTTTTA